GATGCAGTTGGAACCCCATGGGGCAGGGTGCAGAGAAAAATTTGGAAGGTTGAGAATGGAATTATGAACCCCGGGACAGGGGTGAGCTGTGGCCCCAATACGGATGTGATGGGAGAGGGAAAAGCTGTGGGTTGGAATTTTCCACGAGTATAGACCCTCCCACTCTCCCTTCAGCTTCACAGTCGCACATGAAAGACGGCTGTCCATCTCAACACCTTCCCATTGAGCTGCAGGGCTTTGTGTCCTCCCCGTAAGCCTGGGCAGCTTCTGTGGCCAATACAGCTAGAGGCCTTGAGAGACTGGTTACTCTCTATCCCAACTCTTGGACACCCTCCCCCCCCACCCCCAGTGTTGTGAGAAAGCCCAAAACGCCCAGTGCAGTAGGCCCAAGAGAGGTAGCAAAGCTCTGAGCCGACACGAACCAGCCAGGTCTGTCAACCACAGCGAAAGCAGATTCTTTAGGTCACAACGGGCCACTGTGGCTGATGTTGTACAACAGTCCCTGCTTAATTACAGTGATTGTGGTGTTAGGTCACTGTTCTGGGCTAGAGTGTTATGTACGCAGCAACGTCCACTCTCTTTGGCCCATTCAACAGCCGATATTCCCTGGCCCTGGTGAGAGCCGGCTGGGGCTTCCCTCTCTCATCTCCCTCCCTCTGGTTACTGGAGGTCTGGGCTACAGTTACAGGATAACTGCAGCTAGTGGGTGGCTTCTACAGGAGTAAGGGTCAGGTATGAAGTGTCACAAAGGGGGCTGGGTGGTTTTTTGGTTTGTTTTTTTTTAATTGTTGCATGACATCCACTTCTGAAATGGCTTGCCTCTGGAAACTCCATGAACATGGAGAGAAAGGAACAAAGTGATACAAGTGTTCAGGTCTTTTGTTCATAGGCTTGCAATGTGTCGTCTACGACTCAGCAGCACTTAAGAACAATTTACAATGACAAGCATAGAGCTGCGTTGGCCTAGTGGATAGAAAGTTATACTACCAAGCCAAAGGTGAGTGATTTTAATCTGCAGCCCTCAGGCCTGGTTTAAATTGTTTTTTGTCAAACATTCTTCTAAATGGTATAGCACTGGTCTGTGCATTGCTGTACAGAGGTGGCTTGTGGTTGCTGTGATGCTAAACACTGTGACACTAATCTGCCAAATGCAATAATGGTTACCTATGGTGGACAGTGTTTGGTGGGGCTTTCTGACTAAAACAAGCTTGGAAGGAGGAGTGGCCTCCGGAAATTCTATGAACATGGAGAAATGACCAAAGTTATAAAAGTGTCCAGGTCTTTCATTCACAGGGTCACTATGAGTCGTCTACGACTCAATGGCACTTAACAACAAAAACAACAACATTGTTGTTGGTCAGTATTCTTCAATAAAATACAGAACTGGCTCTTGTATCTGAGTTGATGCAATGGTGATGTCTTCCATTCCTTTCCTTGTACACTGTGAAAACTGGTGGTAACGACACTCTTTCCATTTTAAAGACAAAAACACCTGCTTCACACTCTGTGTAGGATCAAATGAAAAGGGAGCAGTCATGGCCCCAAGCCCACCTTCTTGTGCCACCAACATGAGGAGAAGACAGCACCTGCTAAGCCTGCGTTGGTCACAGTGACACTGTGAACAAACAGGCTTCTGGTGACTCAGGGGGCAAGGGATCAAAGCATTTAAACACACGAAGACCCATTTTTTTTCCAATTTGTTTATTTTTTAAAAAGTGTAAGAAATGAATAAAATGTCACCTAAAAACTATCTACAACAAATAAATTATTTGCAGTTGAACAGAGCAGGTCTGCAAACCTCTCCTCAACCCTTTGCCAAGGTTACGTCCTATGAACTTAACACTGGTCCCCTCAACTCCTCTATATGCTGAGCTTTCTTTCAATGAGAGTAGAAGCAAGTGGGGGCTACCTGGGTCCTAGAAAACATTGCATCTCAGCCTGTTGTTCGGCCAGGCCACATCAAATGTCACCTGACTGGCTGCTGGTGACCCTGAAAAATTGTATATATGCAGAGCCTAGCATTTACAATGGGGGTTCAGTGGTTTAAACGATCACCTTTCATGCATTAGGCCTGAGCTCTGGTGGCCCAGAGGCAAAGACATGCAGTTGGAGGCCACCAGCTGCTCTGTGGGAGAAGGATGGGTAATCTCCACCTCTGTGATTAACTGCCTCTACGCTGGAGGGCCAGCTGTGGGTCGGTTACAACTCTCCAGTACACACCATGCATTAGTCCTGGAGTCAGCTCCTGGTCATTGTACCTCACGGGGAGCCACTCTCTGTCTATCAGAGGCCTTCCTGCTGCTGGACAGGTTTTAGTAGAGTTTCCACACTAAGATAAACCTAGGGAAAAAAAGGCCCGACACGCTACTTTTGGAAATCAGCAATGGAAAAGCCCTATCACAACGACATGATCTATAACTGATCCTGCGGATGGTTTAGAACCACTCAGAGTTTGGCTCCATTGCAGGTAGTGCTGACTGCGGGGCAGCTTGTAACAACAAGGCTTTGAAGAAAACAGGGGTTTGTTGCCCCTTTACTGTGGCACAACTTGCGTATTAACCTACCCGAGAGAGGTCTCAGGAGAACAGTAACTTGTCCTGGAGTTTTGAGCTCTGTAAAAATGGCCATGTGGAGACTGTGCAGGTAACAGTGATGTGCTGGATGGGGACCTACTACATCTTGGGGCAGAATGTAGGCGGCCGGAAGGAGCTGTGAATGAGATCAGGAAATTGGGAAAGGCAGACAACGGAGCTCTAGAGTTGGCTAGAGTGACTTCGGAGCACAACGTTTCAACCATGGGAAGGAAGCCATACCCTCCTCTGGCCCTTCCTGGAGGGAGTGTGTCCAGAGTGCAAGGGATTCTGGGTAGCACCGTCCAGTCAGTAATAGCCACGCACACCAGAAGCAGTGCTAAGGGCATTAAGAAGGAAAAAAAAAAAGAAAATGGACAAACCCTTTTCTGGAAAGAGTTCAAGAGCTGATGTGGCACACGTAACTTAGGAGATTGCACAACTTCTCTTCAGAGGCATCTTTCACTTAAACAAGTTGAAGCAGTGCGTTTCCAAGGTGGACAGCCAGGACACAGGGAAGGAAGCACGTTTGTTTTGTAGAAGTTGTTCTGCCAAGGAAAGCCTGGACTTTGGCCTGCAGAACGCAGACAAGCTATAACACAATCCTTCTCCTCCTAAGCACAGGGCTCTGACTGGGTGTGTCTCCTGAGGCACAGGCAGGTCTCCGTTGTCTAGCAAGTCTTTTGATTGAAAAAGAAAATACATATCATCAGAACACAAAAACAATCTTTAGGAAGCAGCTCGAGAGTTCAAGGCTTGATAGAGCAGTGGTCACGTGACAAATGCCTGCAGAAGCTGGTAACTGATACTTTTGAGGGTTGAGTGTAAGAAAATTCTTGAACTCCACACCAGCTTCCTGGTCTAGCTTCTCTAAATAATAAATATGGGCTGCAACTTGCCATTTCATTACAAGAAAACCACCCTGCAAGGGCAATGCTGGGAAACAGCAGACATTCAGCCTCTGGGTGGGAGGTAGGAGTGGTGAGGACCATGCTAAAATGGTGAGCCCTGTGCTTCGTCTAAAGGTGGCAGCAACTGCTTAGTGCCAACCAGTGGCTGCCAGGGGAGAATGTGAGCCCCATGGTGGCTAGATCTTCTGATCTGTATTGGAATGTAACATTTTCATGACTCTAAATGTCGGGAACTAATTCTTCAAGCACAAGCACACACGCACATGGGCAGGATCACTTTGCAGCCTCTGTTTTGAGAGTTTGAAGCAATAGGATCCTCCCAGTTCTAATCTCCAGAAGGAATAGATATGCTACTTTACATGACAAAAGGACTTTCAGATGTGGTCAAGCTGAGGATTTTGAGATGAAGATTATCTGAGGTCAGTCGAATGGACGTGAGAAGTGAATGAGGCAAGAGAGTCTGCGACAGAGTGATGTCACCTAAGAAAACCAGTCATCTTTGCTTTTTGAATATGGAAGGGACCACGAGCCAAGGAATGCCGTCTGCTCTCCCAGAAGGAGCACAATCAGCCCTGCTGTCACTCCCTTAGATTTTAGCCCAGAAGAACCTATTCCAGACTTCTGACCTCCAGAATCACAACATGACACACAGGTGTCGTTTAAGCCACCAAGTGTGTGGTAATGTGTCACTGTAGCTAATACTGGTGGCCATTTTCTGGCATATTTTTAAACATTTCGAGAGGGGGAAAAATAGTCTCCAAATTGAAAAGGCCAACTATTGATACAGCTGAGAGGGTCACAGGTGACAACACAAAGAAATTTCTCTTATTTCTAGGACCACAGGACTCGAGATGAGTTTCTGTACTGGGGTAACCGTATGCAGGCAGAGAACAAGGACATGTTGGGTCAAAGCAGGTATTACATGCGAGCGCTGTCAAAGCAAGCTCGATAGCAAATGACTCCCACTCCCAGGATGAAGCACATCTTTGTCTGGTGGTCAGTAGGATGCAGACTCCAGCTGTCTAAACCAGCCAGTACGAGCTGTCCTTAAGGCACAGAACAAGAAAAGTATGGCTATCCAGTTGACCGCTTAAATACATCCAACTAACAATGAATAATACAAGGCACAGAGTCTTTTCATCCAGGGCATCCAAATGGGAGCCAGGAGCTTAGGTAGGCCCCCCAGGAATTGGTATTGTCTGGAGAAGACCGTCGTCTAGTTGATTCCAAAACTGGATTCACAGCAACCCTGGGCTGGGTGACTCACACCCATCTCCTCTCACTACGGGCTGCTTTACTGCTCAACCTGAGCATAGAAGGACAAGGACGTGGACTGGGATGACTGTATCCAGATCCGAATGCACCTTTTCCAACATTTCATCAGAACAAGTTCACTTAGAAACTGGAAGTTGATGGTCTCCAGAATCTTCTGCTGTTCCTTCTCCTCATTTCCGGCAAGGAACACTAAGGGGCGTCTCGGTGCCCTGCTCTCAGCAAAGTATCTGATACTGGGTCCAAGTTATTCTCCTGGATCTGCTGGCTTCTGGATGTCCAGCAAGGGGATGTCTGTATTCCCGCTGGCCACGCCTCCATTGCTGGGGTGGGAGAAGGTGTACGGTTCGTTCTCAGACTCAGAAGAGAAGCAAGGAGGAGCCTCCTCTGTGGTCAGCTTTGCAGTTGGGGCCCTGGAGAATACGAGGGGCGGGGAAGGTGGGCAGTCCCCCATGGGGCCCTGGAAGGGCTGGTAGGTGTCCACCTCTGGCTGGTGGAAGGACCCGTTGGAATCTTGGAGCAGATGACCATACACCATGGTGTCATCGATGACTGCGTACACATGGGAGTCACTGTCCTTTCGTCCTTGCTGGAACTTTTTCTGCTGCTTTGGTAACTGGGTATTGATGTTGCCATTGTAGATGCCCACGACAGGGCCCTTGTTTACCTTCTTTTTCCTACTGGGAGAAAGGGAACAAGACAGAAAAGTCAGGAAGGATGTGCCCTTAGATGGGCACCATTTATACAGCCCATTGGACTCAAACTAGCATTTGTGCAGATGGCACAGGGCAGGACAACATTTCATTCTGTTGACATAAATTAGAGTTGACACAACAAGCAACTATACCTCCCATTCTTCAGGGTTCTGGCCTTTTCTTTCAGATGACCTATCATGCGTAAGTGAAATGAGTGTCCCTGGTGGACATGTAGAAACCGGCTGTCAGGTTGATTCTGGCTCACATGACCCTCCAGAACATACAAGAGCTGCCTACAGGTTTTCCAGGGCTGTGTATAATCTTCATGGAAGCAGACAATCACATCTTTCTCCTATGGAGGAGCTGGTGGTTTCAAACCACTGTGACCCCCTTGGTTAGCACCCCAAAGCTTGAAGACAGCACCACCAGCCCTCTCGAGGCCTTTACAAGGGATTAACTTTTGTCTCTAGTTTTCAGAAAACAGAGATATAATACCTGGAAGGGTGGTTAAGAGAAGGTGTTATTAACAGCAGGTTAAGCATTGTGCTGTTAACTGAAAAGTTGGCATTTCGAACCCACCAGATGCTCTACAGGAGAGAAGAGGAGGGAGTCTGTTTCTATAGACACTTAGAGCCTTGGAAACTCTATGGGCAGTTCCACTCTGTTCTACAGGGCTCAGTCTAAATGCATGGCAGTTCTAATCTACCAGCTGTTCTGCGGGAGAAAGCCGTGGGAGTAGGTTTCCATAAAGAGTATACCCTCGTTCATAGCAGTGTTATTCCCCATTGCAAATACATGGAAACAGCCCAAACATCCAACCATATCCGAATGGATAGAGAAACTGTGGCACATTAATTCACACAATGAATACTACGCAGCACTCAGTAGCAACAACTTAGAAAAATACTACATAACTTAAGAGAGACTGGAGAGCATTATGCTGAGTAAACTCACTCCATCTCATCAGGACAAACACTGCAAAAGACCATTGTAAAAATAGAAGGATCACTAGTAAAACATGTATGAGGACCGGGGGTGGGGGGAGGGAAGGAGTAGGAGTGGAGGGGTGGGGATGGGGAGAAGGAAATAGGAAGAATCTGGAGGGGACCTGAAAAGATTGAGTCCTGATGGGGAAGGTCCCATGGTGATTGATTTTATAAAACACGGTGGATGGGAGTGATTTTATAAAACACACTACATGGGAGTGATTGTTAGAAACATAATATGAATGAAGAATAGTGTGAAAAACAATGTGTACAAACTTTGTGAGAAAACCAATGTAAAATAACAATAAAAAAAAAAGATCCACCTCCGCCCCAAAATAATTATCTCCCTGAGAACTTTAGAGGAGCAGTCCTTGTCTGTCTTACAGGGTCACTAGAAGTCAGAAATGATTCAAGAGCAATGGGCTTTTGGTTTTTAAAATGTTCAAATTAGATTCCGATGGGAGATACAGGAAGACACATCATTAGCAGAGATGTCTGATGGATGACACGTTCACCTTCTTTCTTATTAGAAGTGGCTGGTGTCCTGCTCTTCTAAACCACATCAGACTCAGCATGCCTGGACCAATCTTCCCTTCTTTCCCTGTCCATTCTTTCCCAGGGACACTGCTTCACTCCTTTTAAATCAGTAATGGCTCTGAACATATAGACTGCAAAGGATAGTATGCAAGGCTTACAAGCTGTATTTCAGCTGTCAGCTTGAGTCAAGGAGAGCATTAGCAGAGGGACCCAGTGCCCTCAGCAGCAGCCTCCAACAGAGCAAAGAGCTACAGAGACAACACAATTCAGGCTGTGGGGCCAGAGCGCCTTGGAGTACCATTAGCGTTTGGTCTTTCATGCTCTCTGGTGCAGGGATGTGGATGGGCATTGGTACCTCCTGCCACAGAAAACATCCCTAAGAGCCAAGCAGCAGGGGGGGCAATTCAAATGGAGAACATTAGCTCAATTAGCAAAACGGACAGTATAATGCACAGGCCTCAGGGTTCACCAACTGTGCACAGAATGAATCCTCGTACTTTTCAGAGGCAAAAATAAATCTAGGACACTGAGCTTTTAACGATGAGCTTCTGGCTAGGATGATGGAATTCAAAGGCTGCTGTCTGATACTCAGAAGTGCATGCCGCTCTTTAAGCCTGACTTGTCCCCACCAAAACTCTTCTGCTGACTAGAGGTCAACTATTTATGTGTCTGACTCATGTTCTGTTCCACTCATACGGACTATGAGTTGAACAAAGGAGGGGCTGTGTCTTGCTCACTGCTGCATATTCAGCACGTAGCATGGTCTTTAGTGCTCAGGAAACACTCAGCATATTCTTAATAAACAAGTTCAATGTCATTGTTTCCCTTCATTCTCACCACAAAACTCATGTACCAGGTATGGAATGGGCCTTCTGCAAGTCTGTCAGTCTATCCTCCAAGATGAGGACTGAGATAGTCTTCTTCTTGTTGTTGTTGTTATGTGCCATTAAGTTGTTTGCAACTCACAACGACTGTATGTACAACAGCTCTGAACCTTGCTCTATCTTGAGCCAATTTCATTGTCTCTGATACACCTATCCCATTACCTCAGTGACTGAGTTGATTAATCTTATCCAGGATCTTCCTCTCCCTTGCACTGTCCTTCTGCCCTTCCAAGCATGATGTCCCTCTCCAAGGACCAGTCCCTCTTGACAACATGCCCAAAGTATGTGAGTGGAGTTTCAAAATCTTTGCCTCTAAGGAGTAGCCTGGTTTCCTCCTCTCCAGGATGGACCTGCTTGTTTTCTCAGCAGTCTCTGGTATATTTAATACTCTTCTCTAGCACCACAACTCAAAGGCATTGATGATTTTTCTATCATCCTTAGTCATTGTCCAGCTCTCTGAAGCACAGCAAGTAATCGTGAAAACCATGGCTTGGATCAGGAGCACCTTGGTCTCTAGACTGACTCTAGACTTAGAAACTGCTCTTTAGTACTGGGGAAAGGTCCCTGATGGAAGATTTTCCCAGTGCAATTCGTCTTTTGATTTCCCGGCTGCTGGTACCAACAGAGCCAAGCAAGGTGAAGCTGTTGACAATCTCAATCTCTTCACCATCTACCATGATATTGCCAGTTGACCTAGTGGTGAGAATCTTTATTTTCATGATGTTGAGCTTTAATCCATATTGAAGATTGCAGTCCTTGACCCTCTGCAGCAAATGCCTTAGGTCCTCCTCAGTGTCAGGAAGTAAGGTTGTGTCACCTGTATAATGCAGGTTGTTGATGAGTCTTCCTCCAATCCTGATGCCATATTCCTCTTCATAGAATCCAGCCTCCCAGATAATCTTTTCCACATATAGATAGAAAAGGTACATAGACTGAAAAGGTTGAAAACACGGAAGTAGTCTGCTGTTGTTGTTTGCCGTTGAGTTGAGCATGACTCATAGTGACCTTACGAACAAAAGGTCTGAAACCTTTCTATAACTATAGACGTTTATCAAAGTTCAGAGAGTTTCCAGAGGCATGTTGTTTAGGAAGCGGATGCCACTCCTGCTTCCAAACCATGGTTTGGAGGTAGTCTAAAACGGGATTTTCCTGATGAGGAAGCTGGGTCCTGTGTGAACCCCACTCTTTCTTGGGTACATCTTGACAAGAAAGTGTCCTCAGGGAGACGGTATCATGAAGTTTAAAAGAGATCGTTTCCCCTCAGTGTGATATTGTCTAATCCCATTTCAGAAGGAAAGCTTCTTCCTGGCTTGGCACAAGCTGAGCCATTTTCATCCGTGGAAGCGTGTCTAGACAGTCTCATGGCGGATCAGAAATTTCTCTTGTCTGCTCAGAGTCACAAGTAACAGAACATGGTAGGTGTTGTGTGTTTTGTTTGTTTGTTTTCTTTTTTGGTAACTAAATTACACTAAATTAAGGAAAATGGATTTCTTCCTTCAGTGACCTGTATCTTTAATTAGAAATTTATTTAAAATGGTTAATGTTTTTCTTTTCTCAAACAGAAGCTGCTGTCCTGAGGTGGCGAGAAGTGAGGCCTCGTCAGCTGAACTGGGCCTTCCTTCTTCTTACACGTACTCGGCTCCCTCCAGGGCTGGCTTTTTTGGTGATTATCTGGCATTTAACAAACAAGCATAACACAGCCAGTTTGTTTAAGGAAGTGGAGGAGAACAAGCTGAGATAACGCGGACTTGCTTTCCCTCTGGGTGACTGGGAGCAGTTTTAGAAGCTTGCCCTGACAGCACTGTGTGAGCATTTCCCTGCCCAGTCACACCTTCAGGGAACACGTAATGAACAAACATCCCATGACTCGCAGGGCCACAATCACACAGCAGCACAAATGTCACGTTTCCCCCTTAGACAGGGGTTTTTGTTTGCCCCTTGCTCCTTTCCTCAGAGTATAACCCTCATCTGGCAACATGATTTAACACTGATATTTGGGGGCTGAAGAAGAATCAAGAATAACTTTGTAAGTTATTACCTAACTTGGGAGGGACTGGAGAGCATTATGCTGAGTGAACTAACTCAGTCCCACAAGGATAAATATTATAGAAAACCATTATTGTGGAATGAGTACAAGGATCCAAGAGGAGTGGGAGAAGCCGGAAGCAGAGGGATGTGGATGTGCAGGGGGAAGAGGGGATTGATCATTGGGTTGCACAATTTGATGGGGGTGGTGGTGAGGGGAATTGAATTTGTTCGAATTTGTATAAGAATTTTGCAAATAAACTAGCGGGGGGGAAAGTCATCTTGGGGAGGGGAAGGGGGAAATTGTGCAACCATGAATGAATGAAAATCTAACTTTTCTGTAAACTTTTGTTACAATGACAATTAAAATAAAATAAAAAAAGAAGACAGGGACAATACTGAATGATACATCTACTTTGTGCAGCTCTGAGGAGGCATTCACTCAGCTGAAGAAAGTTCGAGAAATTCCACTTACTTCCTTTTCACACAGCAAATGGTGAGGCCGAGGGTGAACAGGAGTAAGGCTCCACCTCCCACCACTGCAATGATGATCAGAGTCAGGTCTGTGAGCAGAGACACAAAGGAGAGAGAGAAAAGGAGGTTGGTGGGCTTATGTCAAAGACAAATTCACAACTCTGTCTCCAAAGATGGCAGCCACCAATCCTTTCCCTCCCTGTACACGGATCCTGCTCCGCACTGAAGAGAAACCCGTTTTCTTCTCTCTTCATGTTGCTCTGTACAATGCAGCTATGCCTGATCTAGGCCTAGACTTTAAAACAAGTTTTGGTAGTTCTCTGAGGGGAAGTCAGCAACCCTGTAACGAATCTGACTCTGTAGAGACCATCATGTTGTGACGGGCCCAAGCTAGCCGGGTAGAGATTCCATGTGAGGGGAAAGAATACCCAACCAATAAGCCCAGCCACACCTGAGCAGCAAGACCCTCACCTGGCCTCCCCAGTATCTTGGAGCAGAGATGAGCCACCCTACTAGGCCTTGTTCAAATTCTTGACCCACATACTGATGAACACAGAAAATGGTGATTGCTTAAATGTCAGTGTAGTCTGTTATTCAGCAATAGAGAACAGCAACACATTCCCTGTACCTTCAATCGGGGATCTACCGGATCTACTCCTGGTCTATCGTGGCTGCTGTTTTCCCAACTGCCCGAGAAAAGGAAAGCAGAGGCGTATAGCAGGAGAGTTGAAAGGGAAAAGTCAGAAGTGAAGAGGTTAAGGAGAGGGTGGTTGCGTTTGTACGGTCCTTTCCCTACAACAATATAAAGGGAAAAAAAGCAAAAGTTAGAGAAGGGCCTTATGTTATGCAGCAAATCAGAATTTTTTGCTTGTTCACTAAGAAAACAAAAGAGGAAAACATGACAAAATAAATATGTGAGGAGAAAGGCCAAGCACCAGAAAGCAAGGGAATCACTCTTACTTGTGAAATTGAGTCCCACCAATTAGCTTCCTAGGGAGCTCTGGGGGTGTAGTCTGTGGTGAGTTGTGCTGACAGCTCAAAGGCCACACCTCTCTGGCAGTTCAAATCCACTAGTCGACTCACGGAAGAAAGACGGGCAATCTTCTCCCGTGTGCCTTTCGGCCTTGGAAACCCAGTGTAGGGTCAGCTAGGAATTGGTTCCAAGTTGATGGTCATGAGTGAGTGAATTCTCTTGCAACTAACCGGCTCTCCTGGGCAGACACGCAATCTTTCTAACTTCCAAACAGGGAAGGGCTTGGGGAAACACATTTTCACAACCTCCTCTGGTTCTAACGCTCTGTGAGGCTTCATGACCGTCTCTGATAAAGGTCACACAGGGCCACAGCGAGGTTTGTTCTAACACACTTAATACCCTGAGATGGGAAGAAGGCCTCTCCTCTACTTGGAAGTCTTCAGTGGCTCTTGAAACTGAGGATAAAGGCCAATTCCTCATCCTGGTGTAAGATCTATGTATGCTGAGGACATTTCATGGATTTCAGTGTTTCAGTGAGACTGAAGGGAAACAAAACACAACACAACACAACACAACACTCAGGGAAGAGGTTGGAAGAAGAACACTGTTATATTGAAAGGATTATAACCAATGTCATAAACAAAGCGGGTACAAATGGTTGGACAGAAAGCTAATATGCTTTGCAAATTTTCACCCAAGCTACAATGTTATCGTCATTTTTAGGTCCTTGTTAAGTCACTTCTGCTTCATAGTGACCCTAAGCACAACAGCATGAAACGATGCCTTGTCCGTCCTGCCCACCCCTCCCTGCCGAATAATCACTGCTGTCTTAGAACCAACTGTTGCAACAACAGAAAGTTTTAAAAAAGGGTAAGAATGATATACATCACTAATTTTCAGAGGGCATCTTTATTCCAAATGCTGATGTTGGTCTTGTCTTGATAGAATATATTCTAAGATCTAGGAAAAGAAATAATCTGATATTGAAGAGGGAGCTCTGGCGGCCTAGTGGTTAGGGAGCTGCACTGCCAACCCAAAGCTGGCACCTCTCTGGTGGTTCAAATCCACCAGGTGCTCTGAAAGAGAAAGATGGGCAATCTCCTCCCACACAATTTACAGCCACTTAAGAGTGCCGGCCAGGATCGGCAATCACTGAGGTAAACTACAGTCAACTCTGATAAGCTCAGTTCAGACCAGGACTGCCCAGCCAACCTGTGAACAATAATAAATAGTTGTTGTGAAGACACTGAGTTCTGAGGTAGTGCAACAGTTAAACACTTGAATGCCATTAAAAGGCAGGTGGTCTGAACCCACCCAGTTGCTCTGTAGGATAAAGAGATAAAGATCTAGTGAACAGTTCTCATAAAGATTTTTCATAAAAGTTTTTCTTTTGTGGTAAGAAAATCCTATGTGGTAGTTCTCTGTACTTTTGTTTTTTATTTTTATTTTATTATTTTTACGTGTACCGTCAAATCAGATCTGACTGGTACGGGAGGAGATTGCCCCTCCTTCTCCAGCAGAGCATCTGGTGGATTTGAACCATGCACCTCTGGGATTGCAGTGCAGTGTCTTGCCTCTAGGCCACCAGAGCTCCCTATAGTTCTCTGTATTATGAGGTTGGTAGGAGTTGAGAAATCACCTCAGTGGTACCTAACTAGAACAAATTCTGAGGTAGTTTCTGATGCAGCTGACTGACGCACAGGCAGTTAGGACTCAAATCCATGTTTCTGATTCCTATCCCCGGCTTCCTCCTCAGACACCCCGATTTCCCATCTACTATCATCCCTGGAAGGTCCTTACCTGTTGTTCTTGGCGAGAGTGACACCCAGAAGAGCAGGTCCAGCTGCTTGCCACTCACGGGGCTACAGTTGGAGATGTTGACCCAGAAGCTGCGATGGCGGAAGCTTGGCTTGGGGAGCACCTGGTCTTCCAGGTTGAAGACCTCCTCGGTGTGGGCCTGCTCCTCCTGGATGATCATGAACGCGCGCCCCGTCTGGCAGACCACGTTGGTTCGCTCCTTGAGGAAGGTCAGGCAGGCCACCTGGTTCTTGGGCACACTGATGTTCCAAGACACCGAGGTGAGGGGTGCGAGGCCCACCCACTTCCAGGTTGGGGTCTTCAGGTACACCTTGTTCTTTGTGTCAGGGGTTACCGTGAAAATGCTGTCCTCTGTAGGCGAGTGAAAGGAATCATACAGATGTTGTTTCATGTAATCAAAATCGAGGGGAGAAGAAAAGGTGGAGAAGACAATGGTAAATTGTCTAGATCAGTCAGAGAAGAAATGTTCTATATCTGCAGGGTCCACTTGCCACACGGGCCTACTGACTACTTGAGATGTGCCCAGTGTGACCAAGAAACGACATTTTTATATTTTGTGTAATATTAAATTTAAACAGCTGCATGTGGCAAGGGGCTGACATATTGGTTAGTGTAGAGTTAGAGATGTTCAGACTTTTTGGAAACAAAACCAACCAAACTAAACCAAGACACAAGGAAGCAAACACCAAGATGGCCTGTTGACCAAACCAGTGAGTATGGTTAATCTGCTGTGCCTGTTTTGATTGATATATATATATATATATATATATATATACACACACACACACACACACATATACACAGATACATATACACACACACACACACACACATATACACAGATACATATACATACACACACACACACACACACACACACACATATACACAGATACATATACACACACACACACACACACATATACACAGATACATATACATACACACACACACACACACACACACATATATACATATATCTATATCTCTATATCTCTGTATCTATATCTATATAAAGGGAGCTCTGGTGGCCTAGTGGTAAGAACATGCGTTGCAATCCCTAATGCACGTGGTTCGAATCCAGAGGAGAAAGACAGGCAACCTCCTCCTGTGCGATTAACTGCCTCTGAAAACCCACTGGAGGGTCAGCTAAAGGTTGGTTCTGATGTGACAGTAATCAACAACAACAGTACACATATATATACACACACGTATGTATGATTTCTGTTTCAGAGATGAAAACAACTCTTTGAGTTCTTGGAATAATTCTAGGACCACAAAGCTAAAAAAGCTTCTGCTTTGCCAATGAAAACATTCCATACCTTTAGGTAAGATAAACCCCCAACATTCCACAGGGATGTGAATGTGCTTTATTTCCAGAGATTTCCCCAGCAGGAGTTTCTCTGCTAACTCTAGAGATGTCAGGCCTGGGTTGACCCTAATCCCTTGGCCAAAGATTTTTCTCCCACCTAATCATGCCTCCAAGAATAAAAGAACAGAAGTATGGAGATTTTGGCTGATTTGAAAATGGCCTATATCTCCCTTTAGAGTAGTGAGAGAAGATCTTCACCCTGAAACCCACAGCGTCCCTTTTCAGCAGGAAGTAGCTAAGAGAATACGCCATCCCCTTTTCCTTATGAATCAGGGTGAAGTCTCTCTCAGGGAGGAGTGATAGGGAATGGCAAAGGACACACTGACAAAGAAGATTAATCAGAACTGGCTTTGACAAGCACTGTGGCATTTGGACAAGAACAAACTGGGAGGAGGGTAGAGAGACTAGTGCAACAATGAATGAATGGAAACCCAAAATCTCTGTAAATGTTTATGAAAATTAATAAAATATAGAAAAAAAAACCAAAAAACCCTATTCAACGTAAAAAAAAAAAAAAGAAAATGGCCTATATCTTAAAAAGTACCTTTGCATAAAGTGTATTGATGGCTGTGACTTTTAAAACTAACCAAGCACCTATTTTTTTAAAAAAATTTAATTATTTTTGTGTGTGGGTACCATCAAATCGGACCTGACTGGTATAAGAGGAGATTGCCCCTCCTTCTCCAGCAGAGCATCTGGTGGATTCGAACCACGTACCTCTGGAATTTCAGTGCAGCGTCTTGCCACTATGCCACCAGAGCTCCACCAAGTACCTATTTTCATGTAAATAATGCATGTATTATAGAATTTTTTGGCAAGCTACACAGCCTTTCTGTACCCCGGTTTCCTGGGTGCACGATATATGTACTTTCAAGTTAGAACCGACTCATAGCTGACCTTCCAGTAGGGACAGTAATCAGAGACAGTAAATCCCAGAGAAGGAAACTGTCTATCTTTCTCCTGTGGATCCACTGGTGGATTCGAACTGCATGCCTTTAGATTGATAGTGCAGCTCCGTACCACTAAGCCACCAGAGTTCCCCATGCGTGTTACACATACATAAAAGTTCTATGCAAAACAGCTTGTGGTAAATAGCTTAGCTGTGAACCATTCAGAGCTCCTTTCAGGAGTCGTCTGCTTCTCATGCCAGAGAGCGGGACCCTGGGTGCTCCAGGGTAAGACTCACGTCTCTCCCTGTATTCCTTCCTCTGTGTTCTCCATGGAGCAATCTAAACTGTAAACAAAGAAACCTAAAAATGCCTCCATGGGGTTTTTCATGTTAACTGTCCAGGACTCCAGATGATCTGTCTGCCACCCATTTCCACTCTGCCTGCCTCTAAAAAAAGATTTGACCCTGATTATTTTGTTCTGCTGCCTACCAACCATCACTCCCACTGTCACAAACATCTTTCTTCGTTTTAAAGCCTGGAATTTTCCATGCAAGACTAATGGGAAAGTCAGGATCAGGTTTGTGTCTGATGGAGAACCACTGGCTTCAAGAACAAAATAATTTTATAAGGTTTATTATGAAAACACAACCCCAGCCCACTCGTCACCCTGCCACATCTAGTCTTCACTCCCCAGAACAACCACATTTAAGTCTTAGCAAGTTCTTGTTAGTTGCCTACAGCCCACTTAGCTGTCACTTCTGGTGGCCTAGTCAGTAGTAGGGAGCTGTACTGCTAACCTAAAGGTGTGTGGTTCGAATCCACCAGCTGCTCTGAGAGAGAATGATGGTCAATTTACTCGTGTGTCATTTACAGCCTCTGAACACCTGCTGGAGGGTCAGCCACAGTTCTGACTCCACAGCAATGAGTTTTCTCTTAATCATGGTGATCACAATGTCTCAAGAAAATGAAGGTTCATGCAACAAAGTCTAATGAGGTAGAAAGATGGGGAGAGAGTGAAAAGACCCCTTGATGAACATGAATGTCCGTCTTAGGCTTACCTTTCAAATGTGGGATAAAGGACAAGGTCAGGCCCTGCCTGGAGACCTCTTGGCGGAAGTCTGGCTTGTAGGTGCGGAGGGTCACCGAGATGTTCTGCTTCACCTGGATCTGCTCAATGGAGCCTCCAGGGCAGAAGGAGCCAAAAAAAAGGTCCTGCCCGGGGATGTTGCTGGCCACGAGGTAGTTAAAGCTGGTGTTGCAGAATCTCTCGTTGGTGGACTGCTGCAGCTTCTGGCTGGGCACAAGTGCCAAGCTGAACCTCTCCTTCGGCACCAACAGGTTCCATGTGAATTCATACAGCTGCACAGGCAGCTGGAGGATGTTCTCCGGGACCTGGAGAAGCTGGGGCCTCTTGTAGCAGTACCAGTGGTCTGCGCAGGCTGGAAAAGGGGAGGGTTTATGGTTCCCATGCTGTCATGAGCTGAACTGTGTCCCGCCCCAAAGAGATGCATGTAATGATATAATGTGGAAGCTGCGGAATGAATCTCCCTGCTCATGAGCTGATAATCCAAACAGCTGTAAGAGGATTAAGGGTGCAGCGATGTAGGAGAATCTCCCTGGAGTGTGGCCCGCAGGACTTATCTCTCTCAAGAGAAAGAACTGCCAGGAGTGGAGCGTGTATTTTTGAACTCAGTCCCCTGTGCGAAGAGGCTAACTTCTCTACACTAGCGAAGGTCAGGATACATGCCAATTTAAGACGCTAATGGAAACACGGATGGTCCTTCAGAACAGACACAGAGAGGGGGAAACCCCCCACAGACAGAACCCTGAACCTGGACTTACAACTTCCTAACAATAGGAGAATAAACTTCTGTTAAAGCCATCCTCCTGCTTTACCCTGTGGTATCTGTGAGGATAATCAAGACTCATGGGAAGAGGAGAGGCCAGAAGAATAACCTCCCTGCCTCCCAGCCCAGGCAGGATGGACATTTGGTGCCACCCCTTCGGCTCTGCTCATCGGCTCTGTCCTGAAGTCCTGGCCTCCTTAGGCCTCTGACTTCGGTTTTCCCTTCTGATTGCACATATTTAAATGAGACCAGCTGCTGTGGATTCCGGTTTCATGTGGCGACCTAAGTGTGTAGAAACCTATGTCATAAAACTATCTGTAAGTATGGTGAGCGTTTGGTGAAGATTTAAAAAGAATGTATTTGGGAGAGGGGGAGTTCTTTTGGTTATTATATCTTCTTTTCTACTTTTCAATTTAATATATAATAAGACTAACATATATGTTGAAAGCAGAGGCAAATTTGGGAATGTCATGTATATGTATGTGTGTGTGTGTATTTCTAAATACTTTCTCTCCCTTCTTCCTTTCTATAGTATCAATAAACCATTTTTGCATATAGCAAACCATTTTCCAATTCAACATTTTTTACATGTAAAAACTGATGATACTCATTTGTTGGATAAAAATCACTTTTCTCTTTTCCCCAATTGTTCTGTTACCATTCTCAAAGGATACCAAGGTCTCAAAGGCTTATTATTCTAAAGAAGACCTCTAGGCCTTTCTTCCAAGGTCTGGGTGGATTCAAACCTCTAGCCTTTAAGTTAACAAAGCAGTACATCACCCGCACTACCCAGAGACTCCTTTTGTATTCTTACTCTCAACTAAACAGGCAGACAGATTTGTGAGAAGTACTTAAGGCTGACTTTTCCCCTTCCTTTCTGCTGCATTTTATCCTCAGTGTTCCTGTGCCCTGAATGCTAATAGTTACAGGTTCCAGGAGTCAGTTTTTATACCCAGACACGCTGGCTGGTGCCCCAGTCTGTGGGGAGGCAGTTCAGTTTGGTGGTTAGAACAGTAAGTAGTGTTAGGGTATCTTAAGTGACATTTCAGCCCTGCCCCTTCCTACCCAGATGACCTCAGGCAGGCTGCTTTGTCTCCTGCAGCCACAGCTCCTGTACCTGTTGTGATTCTATGAGTGCTATTATCAGAAAACATGCATGTAGGTGGTCCAGCAGGGTGGTATATGCTGATTTTACTGCCTTTCACTTATCAAACATTCATTAGACGATGAGCACATCTCTAGTGCTGCTGGGGGCTAAAGGGATAAAATTGGAGTTAGTCTACACTTTCACCCTCAAGGACTTCAATTTCATGTGAGAGACTACGAGTGGGCAGCCAGTGTAGAAGCCTGGGCATGCGGATGGCAGGGGTGGGGAGGTAAGGATCCTACAAGATTGTTTCTGGAAGGGGAGCAGAGGAAGGAAGCGTGGGAATGGGAGGGCCTGGCCTGGGAAACTTGGTACTTCTGAAGGATGCACACTCCCACTGGGCTTCCAGGCCTGGGAGGGGGCATGTCTTCACCCTGCTCTTTCTGTCTCTTGTTTTCCTTGACCATGAGCAAATCAGGTGGACATTTCTATAACCACCTAGTAAACCCCTTCGAGGAGATGGAACCTCCCTCAGCCCAGGGCAGAAAATGTACTACCAGGACCTACTTATGGTTTTCTCTACTGGGACCTACTTATGGTTTTCTCTGCCTTCATCCGCAGGCGGGTCAGGTTGCTACAGAGGAAAGAGATCTTGTACTTGGAGCCGGAAGTCAGGGTCAAGTTGCTGCTGCAGTTCCAAGAATCCAGGCACACGAAGCAGCCAGAGCTCTGGCTTTGTCTGTCCGGCCGCAGCTCAAAGGTGAGTGACATGGTTTGCTCACCACTCAGGTCAACCAGGTAAGTCTTATCTGCAACAAATAAAACATGGGCTGTGAAGACTAGGTTAGCAGGAACCACCCGAAACAGCAAAAATGAGCAAAATACGTCCCCTGGGCCATGCCTGAGGATGGTTTTATTGTCGAGGCCAGAGGACCATAACTTTGGTTAACCGTGGTTAATGCACTAACTGAAAGGCTGAAATTTTGGTTCTACCTGAATGCAGCGCGGAAAACTCTGTGAAGCAGAGCTATGCATTCTGGGGTATGGTCGATGTGAGTCAAACACAGACACAACAGCAATGGTTTTGGTACTTTGTTTTGTTTTTAAGAAATTATTAACTGTAAAAGCAATTTAAAAGAAAAAAAAAACACCTAGGATGCATTTCTACCAATCAAATTTAGCTGCTTTAATGACTTTCTATTAATTTCAAGTCCTTGTAATAGTTCCCTAAGCAGTTCTGCTGGTGTGGTGTGTTACATGTTGAGCTGCCAACAATAAAGTCAGTGGTTTGAGTTCGTCAGCCTCTCTGAGGGAGAATGAGGGATAATCTCTTCCAATAGAATTTACAGCTTGGAAACCTGCTAGAAGGTCGCTATGAGACAAGACCAATGCAATGGCAGTGATGTTCTATGTTTCCATTTTTAAATTTGTTTCCCAAGATTTTCATAAAAAAGTACCACAAAACAGGTGGCTTAAAACAACAAGAATTCATTCTCTCAGTTCTGGCAGCTAGAAGTCTGAAACCAAGATGTTGCCAGCCACGAAGTCTCAGAAGATTCTGGGGGAGGAATCCTTCTCTCCTTTTCCAGCTTCTGGTGGTTCTGTGAGTTCCTAACTCCAAGCTCTGTCTCCATCCCCTCATGGTGGCCTTTATTCTGCATGTCTTTTCTTCTGTTTATTAGAGTGTCACTCACACTGGATGGGAACACATCTTACTTTAGCCTGACCTCATGTCAACTGATGACATCTTCAAAGGCCCCACTTGCAAATAGTCATAGACACAGGTCCTAAGGGTCAGGCTCTCAATATGTTCTTTGGCAGATGCATTTCAATCCATAGCACTTGTGTGTGTGTGTGTGTGTGTGAGAGAGAGAGAGAGAGAGAAAGAGAGATGGCACTTGTGTGTGAGATAGATAGGATAGATAGATAGATAGATAGTGTTTAAAACAAAATGTAAGAATGGTTGAATGTAAAACTCATTTGTTTGATAAGCTTTCATTCAAATCACATTTTTCTTTTTTTTTTAAAAAAAGATAGGAGCTTAGGATAAACTCTGGTGTTAGGCTGGAATTCAGTTACCAGTACGAACACATTGCTTTTAATACTGTGGTTATGTGCCACTGAGTGGGTTTTCAGAGGCTGTAAATCACACAGGAGGAGCCGGCCTATCTTTCTCCATTAGAGTAGCCAATGAATTAAACTACTTGTATTTGATGTGACAACTCATTACCTGCAAGGCCAGCATCACTCCCTGTATTGTTATGTGCTATGGAGTTGGAACCAACTCATAGCTGACCCTCCAGTAGGTTTTCACAGGCTGTAAATCACACAGGAGGAGAAGACTCATTTTTCTCCTGGAGCAGCTGGTAGACTCACACTGCCTATCTTTGGATTGGCAGTTCAGGTCTTTACCACTAGATGCATGCATATTTTTACCTACAAGGACACATCCACTCACCTTTGTCCTGATTCATAGTGTCACTGCTTGGTTTCCAGGTTGTAAATTTTTATGGGAGATTTCTCATATTTCTCCAGAGGAATAATAATAGCTGGTGAATTAGAACCACTGACATACCCATCAAGAAACCCAATACATTACAAACTATGCCATCAAGGCCCCTTAGAAATGTAGTGCATACAAAGTTGTAGACTCTGCTTATATATAAAATTGCATACTTGGTTTTTTAGTCTACGCACTTTGTTTCTTTACTACATATTTTTCATGTTCAGTAATCTGTTCAGTAACCTTTTGAGAATATTAAGTTATTTTAATGGATGCATAATATTCAACCTCGTAAGTTTTACCATCATTTATTTACATACTCTCCCACAATGAACAGTAATTAACAATACTGAACAGTATTAGTGTGAAGATAGAAGACTAGATTCAGAACACAAGATAGGGTCATAAATATTATGATTTAGTCCCTAATAAGCATTCTATTTTAAATCAGTGAGGGGGGAGGAAACTATTTTATAGACTGGGCTAGAAGAACTCACAGTCTCATTAATAAAAAACCTAAAATTAGATTGCTACCTCACAGCAGACTCCACAACAGAAACGGAGAATTTCCTTCCAAATGTGGAACAGTCATAAAAGATAAAAAAACCCCAAACCAACACAAACACGAAAATCAATAAATGGAGCATCTGACAGTAAGAGGTATATGTAAAGTCAAAGGACAAGGGATATGTTAGGAGAAAATACCTGCACATATAAAGCAAATAAAAATTTTCCTATTTCAAATATCTTATTTTTCCTGCAAAGAGCATGTCCATGCAAATAACACACATAAACATACAATAGGCGGGAATGATGACATTATATAAACATACCTCTTGACATTTCCAGAAGTGAATTTCAGTCTCATTGAAGAGACTAAAGAGATTACTTTTGATCATACTTGTAAAATAAAAGTATACATATTTATATGGCACTGGTGGCCTAGTGGGTAAGGAGCTATGCCTCCATATCAAAGGCACAGAGTTTGAATCCATCAGTGTTCCAGTAGAGGAAGGACAATCAACTCCCATGTGATTTGTTGCTGTTGTTATGTTTTGTCAAGTCTCCTGAAACTCATAGCGACCCTATGTACAACAGCCCTAAACCCTGCTCTATCCTGTGCCAATCTTACTGTCTCTGATACACCTACCCCCATTACCCCAGTCACTAAATGAATCCATCTCATCGAGAGTCTTCCTCTCTTGTGCTGTCCCTCCACCCTCCCAAGTATGATGTCCCTCTTCAAGGACTGATTCTACCTTGCAACATGTTCAAAATATGTCAGACGAAGCTACAGAATCCTTGCCTCCAGGGAGCATCCTGGTTTTGCACTCTCAAGGTTGAACCTGTTTTTTCTCCTAGCAGTTCATGGTATATTCAATACTCTTCTCCAGCACCATAGCTCAAAGGCATCAATTCTCCTTCAATCATCCCATGTGATTTACCACCTCTGAAAACCCACTGGAAGGTCAGTTATGGGTTGATGGTATAGACACAGCTATTTGTATAGTTAAGGTATGGTATTGAGTTTAGTCCACAAAACCCAAACCTACAGTTGTTGAGTCAGTTCTGATGTATGGTGAGCTCCATTGAGTTTCTGAGGCTATAAATCATTACAAGATGAGACTGTCTTATCTTTTTTCTATGGAGTGGCTGGTGAATTCGATCTGCTGGCCTTTTGGTTAGCAGCCCTATACATTATACGCTGGAATTGATGGAATATCAATTGATGTATTTCTACAAACAGATGCTGCCCTGTATGTGCTCACCAGGCTGTGCTAAGAAATCTACAGGACAACAACCTGGCCAACTGATTGGAAGAGATCTATATTTATTCCCATTCCAAAGACAGATGACCTGACAGAGTGTGGAAATCAGCGTAGAATATCACATGCAAGCAAAATACTGCTGAAGATTATCCAAAACCAACTTGAACAGTACATTGGCAGAGAACTACTAGAAATACAAGCTGGGTTTAGAAGAGGTCGTGGCACTAGAGACATTATTGTCAGTGTCAGATGGATCTTGCAGAGAGCAAAGAGTACCAGAAAGAAAAATGTCTGTGTTTCATTGACTATGCGGAGGCATTTGACTGTGTGGCTCACAACAAACTGTGGTTAAACTTGAGGAGCCATTTGTTAGTGGACATGAGATGGTTTTGTGGTCTTATAATCTGTATTTCCTGTATAACTGTATTACTGTATAATATAACTGGGGGAAAAAAATCTCTCCAAAACAAAAACAAATATAACTGGAGCGCTAGTGGTGTAGTCTGTAGGAAGCTGCTCTGCTAATTTAAAGGTGGTATTTCTCTACTCGTTTGAATCCATTAACTGTTCTGAGAAAGATGGGAAATTTCCTTCCATGTGATTCACAGTTTCTGAGACCAGCTAATGGGTCACTTATGAGTTGGTTTTGACTCCACAGTGATGAGCTGGAGGGGTTTTTTATTATATAGCCAGTGGTACTGTTGAGACATCCAATAGTGGAGTTAGAACAGAGAGTATAGTTTGTTGAAAAACAAAACAAAACAAAATAAAACAAAACAAAACAAAACAATCTTGGTTCTGGAATGAGATCAGAACCATCACCAGCTCTGAAATAGCTCACTTGGTTACCACTTTATGCTTTATGCTTTATGCCACTATATGTGCCTTTTTTCCACACTGCTTGTGGTTGGGACTCAGAATAGCTTGAGGGTGGTTGTTGTTGTGTGCTGTCGAGTTGCTTGTGAAACATAACAACCCTATGCACAACAGCTCTGAACCCTGTCCTATCCTGAGCCATTCTCACTATCTCCGACACACCCAACCCCATTGGCCCAGTCACTGAGTCAATCCATCTCACCCAGAGTCTTCCTTTCCTGTGTTGTCCCCCCACCCTTTCACACATGATGTCCTTCTTTAAGGACTGGTCCCTCCTGGCCACGTGCCCAAAGTATATGAGACGGAACTTAAAAATCCTTGCTTCCAGAGAGCAAGTTGGTTTCATCCTCTCCAGGATAGATCTGTTCCCTTGCTGCCTAAGGAATGCTGTTCTATATCCAGCAGGGTGCTGCAAAGATAACTATCAATTAGTAATGTCCCTAGGGTGCTCTGGTGGCCAAGTGGATAAAGAGTTGCACTGCCAGCCAAAAGGTATGCAGTTCAAATCCACAAGCGGCTCCAGGGGAGAAAGATAGATAATATCCTCCCAAACAATTTACTAACCTGCCAGAGGGTCAGTTATGGGTCAGTTCTGACTCACTGGCAATTAGTTTTAGTCAATGTCCTTAAATTACCCAAAGGCAACACTGATTTTTGCTCA